TTGAAAAAAGCATTACACAGCATATTTTTACAACTGCAAAATAAATTACAGAGAACTAACACTAATTAATAAGCCATAATATTTCATCTGATATGAAATAAATAAACTACGTTCATGATGAACTCTGAAAAATTTATGAAAAAACCATTTTCATGATGGGAGAAAATAAGAACAAACTAAACACTGCTGAATTAATTACTATATAAATACATTAGTGTCACACTTAAAACCATGAAAGCCGGCACGATAAATAGCAAAACAAAAAATTAGCATGCTGTAATGTCATGACTATGAAGTTACTTTTCTGTGACCATATACACGAAAAATTTGAAATAAAATAAACCTGAACTTCAAGTAACAGAATAAGTCTTAACTTCAAATTGAAGCTATTTGGACAATGAAATCGCATTTCAAAAAAAACTACTTTCAAATTCAGTGTACTGTTTTACAATTACTTCGTCAGTTCCTTTTAAAAAATAAGATCGGACCAGTAATTTATATCAGTATAATCAAAACAGAAACTTTTCAATATAACAACTTAAAAATTATAAAAAGTGTTTTGGACAATGAAACTGAGAACATCGTATTTTCAAGAAACCAAAAAGTATGATATAAAAATTCAAATTATTTTTAGCAGGACAATGTTCTTTAGTCCGATAAAAACAGTTGTAATAAATAAGCATTAAAAGGATTCCTGAAAGAAACATGAACCGTGTTCCTGCCGCTATACACTGTTTGTATAGTATAATGCCATTCTCGTGTGCCACTGTTAAGTCTAATAAAATCTCAAACTAATAGTAGTGAGGAATACATCGATCATTCAAAACAAAAAATACAACTTTATTTAAGTAGCATGGAAATAAATGCAATATATTAAGATGTGCAATGTTATAGAAATCAAAAGTGACTGTATTTTTAACTCAAGATTAAACAAGTTTAAATGCCAATCTCAAAAATGCATCTGACTTTTATTCAAAGGGGATTTTCAAAAAACTACTTTAAGAATTTCGAAAACGCAGATTAACAAGTTATTCCATCTTAAAATCAAATTTTAATCATTAACTCGGTCGCTTCAATTATATAAGTTTCAAAGTATCTGTAATGTGACCTGCATTCTGCTATATTATATAGTACAAAAAAAAAACCTCCGCACAAATCATAATCAAGCCTATCTTAATAAAAACACGATAAAACCCTATTTCAATGGCTAAAAAAAATGCGTGATAGAAAGTGAAATAAAGTAGATATATATCAGACTAATTTGTCAATCAATCGAAATATTTCAGGTAATAACAAACACAACTATTTGTGGGATTACAATATGAACGACTGATATAAGAAAATTAGGAATTAATAAAGTCAATATCCTACTAAATAAGTGACTATGAAAGTGACAAGATATATGTATGGTAAAGATACTGTAAAAATACGTCATAATAACTAAATTAAGAAATAAAACATGAGGGTTTCAACTATTTTAAACCTGAATAAAATGTTTACTAGTTAAAATATGATAAGAGCCTAGAATAAAGTAGTGAATGCTGGTATATTATCTTTATCTGGTTGAATGATTCGCAAAAAACTTTTGTGCTGAATGACAAATGACCAACATGAAGAGAACAGAAATAAGGAAATTGAAGCAATTTGAATGAAAACTTCAAAAGGAGATCTGACACACTAGCATAATTACTAAAGAACTATTCTACTGATATGCAGCGCGGCTTGAAATTCCTGATGTTTCAAGATAACGTGTTTGTCAGTGATTTTAGCCACGACTAAAACTTCATAACTCCCGATTATTTCAGCAGGCTTCTTTGTCCTATTTTAGTTTAGCTGCTTATGTTTGAAGCATAAATTCTTTTCCTCCGTTTCTCAAATATAGAAAGTTATGAAATCATACTGAAGTTTGGTACAGCTTTTCATGCATCAAATGAATATGATGAATAGACTAAAGCAACTCCCTGTAAAGCAACTGAGGTACTGATTCCAGAAAAGCATCAACAAATCTGAAAAACAGCTGCATGGTAAAGAAAATGTTATTACATTGCAATATTTTCAATTATAAAGATTTCAGCTTGAAAAACATGTATTTTTTGAACGTGCAACTGTGCAAAATGCCAAAAATTCTAAATCAAATATGACCTCTGTTTCTGTTTTTGTCTCTGTAATAGCTTGATGTAAAAATAGGTTCTCATCAGATTTTGCAGTTGTATGAAATTTTATTGCTGCAGGCTGCTTCAAGATACCAAACTACTGAATCGACCTATGAACACATCTAGAGCACTAGTAAAACTTATTTCTTCCAATTTTAATTACAATAAAAGAATTTAATTCTAGTAGCAAATTAATCCAGCATTATTCATGTGGGCAAAATTTATTCACGTGTTAATTCTCTTCAGAATGAACAAATAGTGATAAATAAATTACCTGCATCAAAGAAATCAAATTTCGAGAAAAGAAAACAGGCTAGAATTTTCTCTAGTCGCTTAGAGTGCGCAGATTTCATTGTTTGTTGCACTAATTGTGCAGAAACGTCATTAAACCATCAGGAAAATTAAACAAGGTTTAGCATAACAGATGGCGCAGCACTCCAAGCACAAATAAATGTGAATGCCCAATGTGAAACATCAGTGCAAAGTAATTTAATCCAGAATATTTTTTTTTCAACTTGATAGTTGCATTCTTTTTGTTTGTTGGTCAGCGAATAGGCGACATGAAGAAAATCTTAAATTAAGTATGATTAGAACAGCCTTCATTGTTTGCATGATTTTACATTCAAATAATGAGCAATAACGAGAAGAAATTCACACAAATGTAGTACGGTTTAATAGACAGTATTTAATGGCAACTTACACGTCGCGCATGGTAACAAATAAAAGCTGATGCCTCATCACTCACAATATCCATCAAATAAAAAATGGCAGAAAAAATGAAGCAAAAAATGTCAAATTGACGAACAAAAAATGTCTGGGGTAAACAATCTTCAATACCTACAACATCCTAATGATATCAAAATGTAAATAAAAGTAAAAATCTAGAATAAAAGAGAAGATAAATTAATGTAGATGGAAATTGTGAAGATACTTTTTCAAAGTTCGTGTCACAAATTACTCGATAATCAACGGAATATGACAATTTCGGTTGATTCCTAACAAATATCATTTTATCATTTCATCAGTCGACATAATTTATCCTCGTCAGCTAAGTACAATCTAAAATATAAATGCGAAATGATCAAAACTATAGCATCTGACTTTATTTCTTTAGATTTGAAGCAATAATAAAATGGATAAGTCTTGCTTGCTTCAGGATCCATTAGCCTCATTGGTGTGTCTTCAAATTACTACTGTTGTAAAAATAATCTACTATTCTCAAACACACACCATTGAAAAAAACGATGCGAAGCTCAAAAAATTGGGCAGTAACACGTGAAACGTGAACAGTTAGCTGTCTCAAATTTATATCCATTCACATTAGTAACATATGTTAGTTATATAATTGATAGAGCATATAATTTATTAATTTTTGAGACGGGACTTTCCTTCTATATTTCTTGTAAGTCTCGACTTTGTTAGCTAAATTTTCCTTAATTTTCTAGATAAAAAAATAAAGCACACTCATAATGAAATTGCTTTATTTTAACAACCCCTCTGACTAGCAATTTTCGCAAACAGTTTAGTTACTTTTTCTTTCCTGCAAGATTAAATGCACTGTAGCAAATAGAACGTGAACATGGTACAAGGATTTGATGGAAATGGCATCATGCAACAGGGAGTGTGTTGTTGTTCCATGGGATACAGTTATGAAGGAATAATCTACTTAATAATATGTGGTGGAGTTGTTTTGTTTTGCTTCGCAGTCGCTCAGCAGTTTTCGTTAAAAAGATAGATGAGATGTCAAGCAAAAAACATGAAGGACTCTTCGTGCAAGCACTTCCTTTGATTAGATTCAATCTTTTCTGTAATTAATCATTATAGGGAATCATTTAAACAGTTAAATGCTGCAGGTACGCACTATTTGTACTTTCTTATGGTAATTGTGTACTGTTCTTTTAATTTTTGATGAAATCATTGCCCCGCTTCGCAAATCTTCATCTAGAATTGACTTTTCTCCTTCATTGAATATACTACTGATAAATACATAATGAATGCAATATTTTGAGTAACAGCTTAGATATTATCATGATGTCATTATAAGCAAAAACGAGGAAATGATTGGAGTAATGAACCAAAATCTGATTGGAAATAGAAAATTCATGGGTATCAGAATCGATCGAGCCAATGTTAGGAATCAGATTTATGTTTTAGAGGATAAAGAGTCTCAAATGATGGCGCGCTCATGTACAGAGAAACTACTTTGATTTTTTCCTTACGAGAAAAAATTGACCGACAAATTATCTGTGACTATGATTTTGAAGCAACAACCAAATTTTGCTGAAAATAACAGAATTTAACAGAGCAAATTAATATGCTGTGCTCGAAACAATAGTGCTATTACTTCAATGAAGAAAGCAAGTTATTTCATATGTGCAGTCAAAATTTATTATCAGGCGTTTATTTATTATTTCAGAAACATTTTCATTTCTATTGCATTCCGTGTAATTGCTGTAAGATAAAAAGTATGATGACTATTATTACTCCACAAAATTCAAGTTTCAATATAGTTTCTTTGCATGGAAAATAAAAGAGAAACAATGCTGATTGTCATTTTTTAATGACTGGACGTTGAAGGAGACTGCACTTTCTTAAATATTATTGTAATTAACAACAGAGACATTGATAACTGCTGAAAATGCACTCATTCGTAACCTCCCATTGCGCACCGAAAAACTGAACAAGTTTTTACTGTGTGATATTTGACTGGCAGTCGGAGAAATAAAGTGTGTACAAAAAATATAAGAAGTGACGTTTTCAAGCACTGAGTAAATGACTTGGTTAAACTATATTTAAACTTCATTAAAGTGTGTCTTCGTATTTCATTCGAAGACCTTCCAAAACGAAATGCTGTGGAGCTGGCATTTGCTTATAATCGTATCACTTACTTTCGCAGTAAAAGTTAGATTTTATTATCTGTCAAAGATATCTTTTGAACTACGAGCAAATAAAATTGTATGAGCTGTTTTTTGAGAAGCATTCACATGCTATTTATTTTCAGGGTATTGCTGCTAAAGCTAATTCTACAGAAGCTGCTGCAGTAAAAACAACCGTCAAAAGTGATGGCAAAATTAAAACAAAGGTATTATTACTCTTTTGTATTTCAATTCATTTTTAAACTTCGACATACAGAGTGAGAATTGACTAACTGAACATAGTGATTTTACAAGTTTGTAGAAAATGAATGATTCAATTTTTATCTAAAATTTTGTTTACTTCAGCTTTTTAACAGATATGATCAAAGTTTTCAAGCAATAAAAAGACTCTAGCAAAGCAACTCTGCTTAGTAATTAGTGCAGAGTATTTTTAAAATATATATTGAAATTGTATAATCGCAACAATGTTCAGGTATCTGAAGGAAAAAATTATAAACTAACATATTTCAATGTTCGTGGTCGTGCTGAAGTAATACGACTTTTATTCGCCTTAGCAAATGTCAGTTACGATGATAACCGTATTACCCGGCAAGAATGGACTTCTTTAAAACCTAGTATTTCACTTTATAATATTGGAGATTATGCATTTTTTTGCGTTTGCTTCGCAGTATGTTACCTGGGACATTTTACGAAATCGAAACAAATTGAAATTATATCGGTGTTTACTACTGTTATCTTAAATAAGATCAATTGATACATTTTACTTTGTTTGTTGAACAAGCAATAATAACAATCAGATTCACTTCAGAAATGCCTTATGGCCAGGTTCCAGTTCTAGAAGAGAACGGTAAACTGTTAGCTCAAAGTCATGCGATTGAAAGATATTTGGCTCGAAACTTTGGTAAAAAACATTGGTTAAAGAGCAGTTTTAAGCATTTCTGGATAAAATAAAAAAATTTGAATCATTTTTGAGTGTTTTGATTCATTCAGTTATGCTTTTCACTGAAATTAAAGGTTTTATGGGAAGTAATGCATGGGAAGCTGCTAAAATTGAGGAGCTTATGATAGGTACAGAAGGTTTGTGGGAAAAACTACTTAAATGGGCTCATGGAAGCAACGAAACCGAGAAGGTAAAAGTTTGACCCTTTTAGTGACGGTTATTCGAAATAATACCAAGTGAATTTCTTGAAAATCTTTGAAATATGAAAATTTGGCAAGTTTAGTCTGATATAAGCCATTCCGACACAAATCTGAAACTTGTAATAACAGATTTTGCAATACTATGATAAAAACATTTAGGAAGAATTATTGACAGAACTCGAAAAAGACGAAATCAGTTCATTTTTGACTCGATATGAAGGATTTCTGACTTCTAGCAGCAGTAGTTATTTAGTTGGGAAAAAGGTATGTGTATTATATTTTATCTTTTGAATGAAACGCATATGTTGAATGGTTTTGATTTTTAAATTGATGTAAAAGTTGAGTTCAAATTTGTCGACAAAGCATGATTAGTAAATTTGGACTTGTTTAGTATGTGTAGCAATTATGGCATATATTTCAGATATCCTTGGCAGATTTGACCCTATTCAACGTTATAAAAACCTTTGTTGAGTATCTACCTGCTGATTATTTGAAACAGTATCCAAAACTTAACAAATTCATGACAAAAATTGGCTCCAATCCACAAATAAAAAAATGGATTGAAATGAGACCCAAAACAAATTTTTAAAATGTGAAGACAATAAGGTTGATGTTATAAATTTCTTCTTTATAAGCTCAATCTAATAATAAATAGAATTATCAACGCATTTCATTGTTGATTTTATTGCTGGTCAAGTCTGTGAAGCAAAATTTTTATTATGTGAATGAATAAATTGTTGTAATAATTAAATTGATATACGAAACAGGTCAGAATAAGATATAGCAGGTTGCAGTGTAATTAAGTACTTAAAGTGCGAAATCAAAAGTTTTCCTTTATGCGTATTGTGGTCACATTTTACTTTCTCTTTTTTTTCATTACTTATATAAAATCACTTAAGAAATTTATTTTTTAATTACTTTAAATAATGCTGAGACAATTTAAAATGAAAACTGGCACGAGAGAGACCTATAAATAGGTCTCTCTCGTGCCAGTTTTCATTTTAAATATTTTAATATTCAGCTCGATTAAAATGCAACTTAAATGGTATGTGTGAATAATAGTGAGTGATAGATGTGGCGGTTCTTTGATTTTCTTCCATTATAAGTAGCTTTATATATAGCGATAATTTTTCAAAAATTTTACAGATATCCACCATAACGTGCATTAACAAATTGAGTATTTATTGCTATTAAAGTATTTTTTCTCCATAAACTAAATTTACATGAATATGGAAATGATTATATATTATGATATGATAAGTTGATAGAGCTCATATTTGTAACTTTAATTGTTAGTAAGCTTTTTTTTACAAATTTTTTGATGTGTTCATATCTCGTATAGAATTCACTGAAGGTTAGAAAATTAAACATAATGAAATGTGATGGGCTGCGATGAAGTGCAGGGTTTGCACACCAAGCTAAAACGCAGTTTCTTGAACCATTTGGACACCAATAAATGACAAAAAGTATTACAGTAAAGAGCTTTAAGCACAGCAAATTTGCAAATCACTTGAATAAATTGTCTTCCCAAAATTACTAATGGATACAACTAATGTTGATAAACCTATTTCAGCATACAAACCGCAAATATACATTGAAATTTCTGCTCTCTTACCTTATTCAGCCGAGCACAGTGATGGTACAAGTCGTTTCTTCATTGTTATTTCGCATAATCGTGCGTTTGAACATGAAAATTTTGCTGCGATTACCATTTGATGCGTGTTCTATTGCTGAGAAAAAACATTCATTTAAAGTAAAAACAAACTGCGTTTCTAAAACTTTGCATCAAAATAGTTCTGAGTTTCTCACCTTATGAAAAGATGTAATGCAACTTAACTGAAAAGTCAACTCAGTGAAAATATTATGCTGAATTCCTTTCTAACTTTTGTGCAGAAATTAATTTTAATTTTTTTTTACTTCCTTCCACTTTAATTCCTCTTTCATTTCTGCTTTTTCAAAGAATCGATCATCCTTGTCAATAGTTGGCGTCCAGTTACTGTATTCATTTTCTTTATTCAGTTCCAGTCAAATGAGCGCCCAAAATAAATTTTATGATATAAAATTGACAGTAGATGTGCATTAATAAGGGTGATGAAGAGCAGTGGAGCTAAATTAGTTGCCTTTTTTCTGAAGATTTTCTATGCGTCTGGATCACATTTTTTCAAAAATGATAAAAAATTTCTACACAAAAGTTGCATATGATTTTTAATGTTATTTGCATTGTTGCAACTGAATGAGTACGGCCAACTTTTTTACCAGCTTTAAAATATTAATGTGGTGTGACAAGACATCAGTTGTGCACGGTATTTGAAAGAACACAATCAGTAATTAATCACAAAATTGAAGGAAAGGAAACCGAAAAGAGTGATTGATCATAATTCGAACAATTATTTTAATCATAATTTGAAGTGTTTTAGAGAAAAGATGAGATAGGACTTTTGCATATTCATTGAGAATACGAATAAAATTTACGTAAAGACATCTTCTGGTTTTTATTAGTCGTGATTTTATCATTCTACAAACTGGATAAAATGTTTTAGAGTAATGCGATACATCCAGTTAAGATTAAATGCAAATGTCGGGTTTACATAGTTCGTTTATTCATTGTAATAGAACAATTTAGACAGTTTTTTTCTAAATCACTAAATATAAAAAATTTCAAAAATGAAATGACAATATTTATTATTTAGAAAAGTAACAGGAAAGAATCCTTATACTAGAACTAAATTTTATGAACTTTTGTTTTAATGAAAATTTAATAGTAATTTAGTGGGGTATAGACATATAGATTTTGCTTTGTTTTTACTAAACTTTAGAACAAGAACCAAATATTTAAAAGCAGCAAAATGTCGCTTACTCCAAAAAGTTTTAAAAAATTGTGGGTATAGCTAAAAGTAAATGTATATTTTTGAATTATCTTCCAGGAAAAAAATGATAAGATATTCATTACTTGGAGAGGGTTCTTTACAGAAACGTATCATGTCCTGATAACGAAATGCTGTAATGCGAACTTCGAACAGAATTCTCTCGGCGTTGTTCAGATAGTAAACCAAAATACTTTGTGGGTGCTTCCGTTCCTAGTATATTTATCGGTACTCGAGTTCTGATAAAAGCATATAAGTGGTTAAATGACAGAAAAAGGGTGAGATGCAAGTGTAAAATCTACTCAATACCATTTTTTTACAATTTTGGAATGAATTTGATTGACAAGTACGGAAAATTTCTAAATGTGGATACGAAAAATTTTTGTGATCATTGTTTTGACGCCATATGCAATGTTTAATGGTCATTATATTATGAAAGAAGCTTTACTGCAGTAATAAATAATTTACTTATCGCTTTTGAAAATTTAGCCGAATAAATCTTGTTTTGTTCTTTCTTTCATAATTTCAATCATAAAACCCGATTGATAGAAGATGTTTTTGAATGCCAAAAGTTTATAAAAGCAACAAACCTTTTACAAAATACTTCATCTTGTTTCCTCACGTTCTTATGCTTTTGAAATAATATAATCCATAATTTTGGGTAAAAAATACAAGCCAATGCAACACTTGCAGACATTGATATTGATATACATAGGGATGTCGTTTGAATCTGTAAAGCATTAAGCAAGTTCATTCTCATTTTAGTGATGAATGTAATTTGTGCAGCCTTTATACTATGCACTTTGAGAAATAACTTCAACAAATGAAACGTAAAAGCAATTTTGAGACAAACCTGAAAATCGCTGCCAGTGCCAAAGAAAAAAAATATCCAGGAAAGCCAAAGAACACATGTGGAGTACATCGTAAAACCGATAAAACGAGTTTCATTAAAATTTTCGGGCACTTTACGAGTCTTAATAGCATATACAGTACACAGCACAATAAGTGCACCATCATAAGTTAGCGAATAAAGAAAGTGATGATCAGGCACGTTACATTTGAGTACAACTTGATCCCGTGTTGGATAATAATGTTTTGTACCTCAATAAATACAGAAAGAACATTCATTAATTTAATCTAATTTTAATTCATAATAATGAATTTGTTATTTACGTATATAGTATGTAATTTAATTTATCATATCAGAAACGTGACTTTATGTAGATCTCTACTACCGGGTGGAACCATGAGGAGCCAAATAAGCGAGCCAATAAGTTGAAGACCAGCAAGAAATGCTGTGATAAATACTTGTGAAACAGGTGAAATGTAAATGAGTGGTTGAATAGAATGATGCGAAAAAATGCGTGCAATTCGATTGGTTTTTACAAGAAGGGCACCATATAAGCAGGAGAAAGCGAATCCAATACCTTAAGAAATAAACAAATCAATCTTCTCTTACAGTATCACATTGATCTGTTTTCAAAATTTAAAATCGAACCAGATAAAATTAAGAGTGGTGTTAAGAAAGTGAATTTTGCCTGTTCTTTTGATAGCACAATTGAAAGTTGTAGGCTTAGAAATGAGTATAAAGGTCATTGCATAGCACATAATAATTGATGCCATAATTATGTAGCTGAGTTCTCGCCCTGATGCTTTAACTACGGGAGTTTCCTGATTTCTAAAATCAAGTTTGATTATAAATTAGGGTCAAAATTTCAAACGCTTCTTTAGGTTTACCAAAAATTATTGCATTTTTGAAAAAATTCAGTAATTTGCACTATGCAAATAAGACGATCTGTCTTTCATTTTTAACACATACATATACCTATAAGTTAAATTTGTGCTTGCAGAATTTAATTTCTTTCCAGTATAATTTTGCATTTTGTGCAACTGTGACAATTTATTTTTTATTTGCAATAATGTTTTTGTGCTGTTTAATTCATCTAAAAACTTCTTGATGATCTGACCATCTATACATATTGTTCTGTATTCTCTTTATTGTCATTAATTGTCATATTTCATATTCATTTATGCTAGTACATTTTTAGATAATGTTTAATTTTAAATAATGGAGGAAGAAAACTTGAAAAATGAAAAGGTGTTCTGTAATTAATTCTCCTTTTTAAATTAGATAGATAAGCTATCGTGCAAACCTTTGATACACAATAATTACGAACACTGTTGAGCTTATACCGATAATTGCAAGCAAAGCAGGTACTATCGAATACCTGAAAGATGATATCACTGTGGAGTTGGCACCATTACTGTTTCAGAAAAATTGAGAATAAGAAAACAGACCAAGTAGTCCATCTCATATATTTCAAATTCGATTTAGCCAAATCAAAGCAACTTTCACGATCAGCTGACGGCCACCAACCTTCACCACAGTCGACACATGTTGTTTCATTTGCTAAGAATTCATAGTCCTCACATTTGCCACATGCCCAACAGCATATTTCATCCTAAAATTAGTGTCCGCAAATGCTGCACTGTAAGTAAATGGCATAAAAGAATCTAACGGTGCTATTCGTTTTCTCAAAGCCCGATACGATTCCATGACTTGTTAAAGGCCCGCATGATTTTATTTCATATCTACTGAATACGATGATAATTCATATTACTATTAACCTACCAACAATAGCAGTTTCATCTATGCTGCTGAGACTTGAATAATATTCAGAAATTGAACACTGCTTTCACTAACTAACTTTGATGAGCTGTTTGCGATACCCAATGGGACAAGGCATACTGCATTGTGACAGTGGTATTTCTCCATATTTCCAAAACATTTTTCGATCATTTATGTCTAACTGCAATAATCAACAGTAATTATTTTCAAAACTTCGCATCTTCCTGCATTTTTGCTTTCTCACTTCAAGGAAACAAGCATAAATCATGCTATATGCAAAATAAATTACACTCCAAAATATGACTCTTCATTATTAGTCATTAATAACTCCGCTGACCTTCACGTAATTTATTTCAGAATTTTTTCAAAATAATCTTAAAAAGTTCATTTTCATTCTGTTTTCACATTTGATATATCCAAGTAAAATTACATTATTTTTCCAAATTTTTCGATATCATGAACCTGCCTATCAGAAGGAATGAAAGTTTAAAAAGTTAATAAATGGAAACTCAATAGAATTAATACAAGCTGTAAGAAAGAGTTTACCTACAAATTCTAAAGGATACAAAAAGATTTAATGTATATATGTCATCAAAGTCACTGATTTTGAAACTGTGATTTCAATTTCTCTTTTTATAAGCAAATCATGAAAAAAAGTTGGAGAGAAACTTTTTGCTAATACAAACTTGTTCCTCCGACCATTGTCCAACAACAACATAATCACTGTGACTCGGACTTCGAGATCTGAAGGAAAGTGTAGGAAAAATTAATAACAAAAAAGCTGATTTGTTGTCAAAGCACAAAATTTTTAGCTTCTATTGGATTAGTATGCTACCAAAACTTGAATGACTTTTCTCAACAATTTTACCTTTTGCGGTCACTTTCTGGTTGATAATTTAGAATTGTATAGTGTGCAGGTCCGTCACCATTTGGATTGAACCGAAAATTTTTTCCTACTGCATCTATACACTTCATGTTAATTTATGATACCAGCAAATTATGTTCAGTTTACGGAGAAACAAACAGTCATTCACAACTTTTTATGCAGCGCATTTCATCATAAATATTTTTTAACGTCACCGTAAAATGAAGACTCTTGAATAAAATAATCAGTCTTTACCTTCAAATTTAACTTTCAGCAAATATTTTTGGTAAAACTTCTCGCCGTCGATATGCTTCATTGCATTGCAGATTTCAGGGACCTTTGAATATCTTGATATCCACGAAGGTGTGACAGCATCATCCGGACAAACTTCTTCCTTCATTGCCTAGTTAAACAGTGAATTTTGCGTCAAACTGTACTTAGAGTGCAGAAAAAATTCATGCACGGTGGTCAAGTATTGTGATCTAAGCAGACGTCGAGTTTATTTAGTTATTGATTGTTTTGCGAAAATTACTGATACTGCAATAACATCAGAAAATATTATTGTGAAACGTAAAAAAAAATCACTTTTAATCCATATGCAATTGCAAAGACAGCATCAATAACAAATCGAACTTTGTCGTCTGGATTAAAATTGTTGACAGTTTGTCGATGATTTTCACATCTGTGAACAGAGGACAGAAAATAGCTTGTACTAGAAAAAGAAAGAATATGATCAGCTAGTAAAACTCACCGATTCATTGTACTTTCTTTAGGAAGATCGAATTCACAATTGAATTTATGACGCCACAATTCCCTCAACCATTTATTACGTTCGAATTTATGATGACCAGGATTAAGTGACAGAAAGTACTAAAAGCCAAAAATATTTTAACAAAATGAGATTATTTTGCTAATGTAATAGCAGTTTTACTTGCATTGAATAAGTGCTTGACTGATCATATGATGAAACTAGCAAATGACCTCATCAAACGCAGGAACACGTTCAGATGCTAACATTAAAACGATAGCTCCCTCCGCTGCAATTTTTCTCGTACCCAAAGTGTATGCTTCGTTGTTTCGGTCCCAACCTTCGCTTGCTAACCTTAATGTTAACTACTAGTTGACTTTTCAGCTTTCAAAAGATGTGTGTTCTCAACTCTTTACCAATATCAAATTCTAAACTAAATGACAATGAATAATGTCGAAACTTTAAATTAACTTCGTGAATATCAATGTACATTCCAATAAATCAAATAATTTCTGAAACAACGATGCACAGTAAACAATAGATAGCTAAAAGTGGCTTAATTTTAATTTTCATTCAGAAACTTTAAATAATTTGGATTTACAGAACTTCTTATTTACAGAACTTTTGGTCGAATTCACTGATGATTCTTGCTTTCCCACATACAATTTCATTCTGAATAGCATATATTAACTAAGACAAACTACTTGTAGTGTTGAACCATCAATATGAGAAGACATTTATTGTTAAACTTCGAAATTGCAACCTAAATTATTTTAGGTAAATGGTTGCTAAAAGCAACAACATACAATATAAATATCTACTCAAGTATTACCAAATGATCTTTTTCCGATGGGGCAATCGCTCCAGACGCATTCGTTCAAAAGTTTGCAGCATTAGTTCTGGAACGTATTCTGTGGCAACAAATAGTACCACTACACGAGCACCATTCATTTTATCAGGCTGCAATCTATTCAGAAAACTAAATGGCACCGTCATTTATTGTAGATCTCATTTAAAAATTCAAATTATAAAAGATATCAAATTCTAAACTAAATAGCAGTGAATAAAAAAATTCGATATTCAATGCAAAATTTTACAAAGCTTTGGAAATTGCAATGAAATGCAGTCACTTTAAATAGATTCCAACTGCTAGTTGTTAATAAACTTTATCTCTGAGTTATGTGAAACAGTTCTTTGCTTCACATTGAAACTAAAATGGCTCAAAATGTATAAAAATCAAACAGAATATTGTGAACTGTGAACATTTTGCAAATTCATTAATACGATAAAATCCAATGATTTTCTTCTTACACTAGTGATAAACAAAACGGTTACTTCTTGACAAGATTATTAACTGATTCCTGGAACGCTTCTTTTTTAGGTGATATTCGCTCTTCAATAGCAATACAGATATTCATTTTGCGTGCTTCTTTCTTGAACGCTTCAGCACCTAATTCTCCATATTCATCAGCTGAATACACCAACGATACATATGTCCAATTGAAGTGATGAGCAATATCAATCATCGCCCGTGCTTGATAGTCATCACTGGGTACCGTTCTTAAACACTATCTAATATTTTGCAAAGACTAATATAATAAAATAAAACTGTGCTAAACAGCACGACTAGCTTTCATTGAGAAAGTGTCATTAGAAAGCCTTTTACCGAGCAAAGTACTCGAATCGTGTTTTGTCACTGAGATCAGCATTGGTACTGGCCGGACTTACTTGAGCTATTTTGAAGAGTCTTAAGAGGTTAGCAAGCTGAAAAATACACAGAAAGTTTCGGTTGTAATTTTCAGTTGTTTTCCTTGACTGTCCCTGCAGAATTTTTTCAGTACCATAGAAATGAGTTTAAATATCGTAAATTTGATTGTAAATTTGTATAAATAAATTTAAAATGTGGAGGTTAGTTTTAATTTTCGCTTTATTGGTTCTGGCGCTGGATTGCATTCTGGCACTGTGGCTGTACTTGTCTCGCCCACAGATTTGTTGCATTCATCGTTTTCGTTTCGTCCTCGTCGAATCCCATATCGACTGTCGAAGGAGATGCTTTCGAGCGTTTTCTTGAGCACTGTCGACTGGATATATGCCTCATCGTGATCAGATATACTGATTTCCTTCGCGTAACGATTGTGGAAGTTCGTCACTATCCCATCCTAAGTCATCATCATACGTAATTATTTTGGTCCTGCATTTCATCTCTGACCCAAGCTTATTTGCAAGTAAATCATATTTTTGCTTCTTCTCGGTCTCTACTGCTGTTCACCTGTGTCCTGACTAGTGATGCCAACCTCAATCAGGATTACTTCAATTCGCTTCTTATCGTGTATCATGATATCCGCTCGATCCGCTTTTATTCTGATTGCAGTTCTCACTCACATATCGACTCTGATCTCAACATTCTCATTCGCGACGACCTCCTGAACAG